GACATTAATATATTGTCCTATTAAGCACTCATTAAACCTAATTAGATGAATATTTTGTATTCACTCATTTGATCCATACCTAATTAGGAAACTTATTGGACTTTCCTAAATTAATAACTTAGTTTGTCTAATCAATTTAAATAACGGTAATATAATTATCAATTAATATGTTGCCCACAATAAATAAGAGGAAATAAATTTCCCAACAGAAAAGGTGTGCCATGTGGTTTTTCGAGTAAATGTCATGTGGGAAATTTTGGAAATTTGAATTTATTTTTTATTTTGTTTATGGTACATGAAAGTTTTGGCCCTTTTGGGGTTTTGTTGCGGTGGAAAAGTGTAGCAAACGGCAAAGAAGAGTTGGGGAAGAAAGTAGGGGGTGAATTACCAACAAGATACTCATAGGTTGTCCAAAAGTTGGACGTTAAAAAAAAGTGTTTTGCGAGATCTGTTTAGGGATAATAAAAAATATAAATCCTCTTTATATCAAAATGTGAAATCTACCTTGCGTTTTCAGAAAAGGGTAAAATATTTGTTTGTAGTAGACATTACGGATTACTATAATCTATAATCTAATCTATTTATTGTTGGATATTTAATTTAATATTAGGCTTATATGTAAATAATTATGTGTTACAGATTATCATATAAGATTAAGTCCATTTAAAAGGGATCTATTAAGATTTGAGTAATTTGAGCTTTAATGTATCTAATAGGGTGTGAGCTTTTAATGTATAAAGACTTAAGGGTAATTTTTACTTTTATGATTGACCAAAATAGAAATATCAAAAGATAACAAGAAAGTTATATATATATATAGTGGTTATGGTTTCCATATCACACATATTATCATTCTATTCTTTTCTGACATCCCGTCATAAGAGAGAGAGCACAGAGAAAGCTAAAGAATTCTCTAGAAAAACGTGTTGATCTAGAAGACAAACTACACGGCTCTAGAGAGTAATTTATTGTCATGGATTCAGGTACGCTTCTGCTTATTAATCTGTTGATTCTTGGTGATATAACATGAATGTTTCCTAGATTTTGAGAGATGTTTTACATCAGAGAATATTTTCTAACAAATGGTATAAGAGCCTCTTCATGTTGAATCATTGAGAACAAATTTTGGATGAATTTTTTATGGATGTATTCATATATTTTTTTTATTATTTGCAATTTTAAAAAAATATTAAAAAGGGGATGTTAATGACCGACGACATAGTCAAAATCGGACGCGGTTGTGAGGCCGCGCCGACAAGGGCAGTCGCAGCCAGTGGCAACCATTAAGAAAAACATAAGTATTTCCTTTTTTTTAGGTTAGGCCGGCAGTAGTAAAGACCGCCATCGGTGTTTGGTCATACTGGCGCAGCCCAATGTGGCCATCTGGCCGCGACATCTTTAACTGGCGGCCAAATGGTCGCCGGCTCACTTAGGGGTTGAAGAAGACCCCTAGGGTTTGAGATGCACGAGCCCAATTGGGCCCGTGACTTGAGAACACAGCTGCAGGCTTGGCCCACAATTGTATATAAAAAAAAATTAGGCCATTGGGCCTTTTAGGATGACACGGGCCCAATTGGGCCCGTGACTTGAGACAGGCTACGGGCTAAGCCAGAAGCCATATAAAAAAATAAAAAAATAAAAAACGGGTAGGTAGGCTGGAATGAGGATCCAGGTTGGGTTGACTCGACCTGGTCCAACCCTGACCAAGTCAACAATTTACTTTGACTGTTAACTTTTACTTTGATCGTTGACTTGACTTTGACTTTTTTTGGGGGTTAATTTTGGAGCAATTTAAATTTGAATATATGTATGTTTATATATATTTTGAGATGAATTAATTGAAACAACATGTCGCCAAAGTGATCTCTCTCGTGGAAATTAATTTGTTTTGAAATATAAACGGTTGTGTGCATGTGACCTATGTGAATATTGACCGGCCTAAACGAAGGTTGATATTTAACAGAATTGCATGGGCACCTGTGGTAATAAATGCGTGATGATTATTCAGTTTTACATGTGAACAATAGATCGGCCCAAAAGAAGATTTATTGTTTGGCATGTTCTTATTCTCAGTGTTTGATTACTACACCAAGATATCACTTACAAGTTAATATTTTTGTTCAAAGACAAAATATTAATGGAATGTCGGTGTCTTGAGATAGAGTTTACCTTTATTTGAATTTTATTGCTATTTTTGTTTTGAGACTTATATGAGCTTGTTTTGTTTGTTTGTTGTTCTCTGGATTTAGTTACAAACACTCTTGCTAATATTACTGCTAACATCAACTCTATTCCTATGCTAAATGGCACTAACTCCAAGTCATGGCAAGAGAACCTTTTGATAGTTCTCGGAGTCATGAATCTCGACCTAGCGTTGAGGGTTGATTCTCCTACACCTCTTACTGATAAGAGTACCTCTGATGAAAAGAGAGATATGGAAAGGTGGGAGAAATCAAATCGCATGTGTATGATGATCGTGAAGAAGGCCATTCCAGAAGCATTTAGGGGCACAATGTCTGAAAAGATTACTACGGCTAAGGAGTTCCTTGCAGACATTAAAAAGAGATATTTCAAGTTTCATCAAGTGATCATCTCGTTCAGTTTTGAGTTGAATTTGGTCGATGATTGCATATACCATAAGTTCTGTGGGAGGAAGTATATTTTTCTGATTTTATATGTCGATGACATTTTACTTGCCAGCAACGATATAGGCTTATTGCATGAAACCAAGAGATTTCTAGCTAAAAATTTTGAGATGAAAGATCTTAGTGACGCCTCTTTTGTATTAGGCATACAGATACACCAGGATCGCTCTCGGAATATTCTTAGATTATCACAAAAGAGCTATATCGAATAGGTTCTCAAGAGATATGACATACATGATTACAAACCAGGTGATACTCCTGTGGTAAAGAGAGACAAGTTTAGTCTCATTCAGTGCCCTAAGAATGATTTTGAGAAAAAGAAAATACATAATATTCCTTTTGTGTCAGCAGTATGAAGTCTAATGTATGCTCAGGTTTGTACGTGTCTGGATATTGCATAAATTGTTGGGATGTTGGGCAGATATTTAAGCAATCCAGGAGTAGACCATTGGAAAGCAGCCAAACGGGTCTTACGGTATTTACAGAGAACAAAAGACTACATGCTCACGTATTAGAGGTGAATCAGCTTGAGATCGTTAGTTATACTGACTTCGATTTTGCTAGATGCTAAGATATTATGAAATCTACGTCGAGCTATATCTACTAGGGTGTTGTCTCCTGAAAGAGTATTAAACAGTCTCTTATAACCTCTTCTACCATTCTATGAACACAATTATCAGTCAATTTTTTCACTGATAGTTGTTAATTGACAGTTATCGTATTTTTTTTTTGAGTAGTTATCGTGTTTTTTTCTTTTAATTAGCAAGGAAAGAGGACAGACAAACAAATTCAGTAATGAAAGAAAGCGGACAAATTCAATAAAAGCCGATCACACAAAAAAGTAAAAACAAAAAAAATAAAAGGGGCATAATGGGAAACAAAAATTAAAAACACCTACTTGCTTTAAGACGTTTTATTATATTTGTTCTTTAAATTTTTTTTTTTTGTTAATATTAGTATACAGTTTTTGTTAAGTATGTTGACATATATATTTTTTGGTATACATTTTTGTGTTGTGATCTGTTTTAGACGTGTTACTTGTTGGAAAAATGACAAAATAATTGCGCAACAGAATTTTAAAATTTTTTTAATCAAACAATCTAAAGTCGGATCTTGTTCATCACATTATATATCATAAACTATAAAGATCTAAATCATAATTTAAGAAGATTAACATTAGCACTTCTAACATAATTGTAAGATGGCTCAACCAACTGGACTTATTTCCTATTCTTTTTTCTACCACTAGTGTGCTAGTACGCATCGTTTAATATACTCTTAGGCCCGTTTAGTTCACTGATTCGAGTTTTTAATTCGAGTTGAGATGTGATTTTATGTGAGAGCTTTTTACTGTAGCAAAAAAGTTAGATGTGATTGTTTGTGATAGCTTTTTACTGTAGCAAAACTCGAATTCTAAACTCGAATCAGCGAAATGAACGGGGCCTTAGTATCTCCTCTCCTTCCAACTACAAAAGAGTTAAAATAAAATAAAAATAGCGTATCAAATACTATGATTAAAAATAGCGTATCAAATACTATCACATTTTTTTATGCTAAAAATTTCATGGGATATAAAGGCAAATGATTTTTTTAAAGGATTTTTAAAAAGAAAAAATAGCCTAAGTTTTGTAAAATTAGTAAAATTGTTATTTTTTATTAACTTAGTGGTCAATCACTGATTAACCTCGTAGTCATAAGTGATTGACTAATCTATCACTTATTGACTTAGCAGTCAATCACCGATTGATTTAAATTTATCACTGATTAACTCAATAATTTTTCATTATTAATCAATATAAATTAAAATTAACTGAAATCAATTATAATTAATCAATTTCAATCAACGAATTACATGTTTATTAATGATAAAACATTGACAAATTATAATAATTAATCGTATCAGTCAGTCAATCAATTGATTGCCTACTAGATAAAATAATCATTTTGCTAAAATAAAAAAGTTCATCCATTTCTTTAAAAAATAAAAAGTTTAGTCATTTTGTGGTAAAAAAATAGTCATTTAAAGTAATTCTAACCATGTTAGATATTTTATATTTTTAATTAAAATAACTAATAATTTATGTTTATTTTTTAATTTTTTTTCACTCTAATCACTAGTTAAATATAATTAGCATAAAAGACTAGATATTTAATTTTTTATATTATTTTATTTTTTTAACCGTAATAAATGTAAAGTTTCTTTTTAAATTTAATAAAATTATTTGTATTTTAAATTTAATAAATATTAAAGTAATTTATATTTAGTTGAAATAGGGAGTAGGGTTAAAGAGTATGGTTAAAGTGTATAATATTTTTTAGTTATTTTAACTAAAATTTAAAGTGATCCGTGGATGCTCTAACCTCATTTTGCCCTTCCGATTAGCTTTTTGCATTGGGATGGTCAAAATCTACACTCCTCATCTTCCTCTCCTTTCAAGGCACCTATATCTCTTCATCGCCACGCACCGTCCCTTTTTCCTTATCACCGTCGTTTCTCCATTTCTCTGATTTCCCCAAACCGCCCAAAGCCCTAATTACCACTGTCGTTTCTCTCTCCCATCTCCAAATCCCGCCGCCGCCAAAACCAGCCTTGGCCGTGAACGTCGCCAATAATCCACAACCCACGGTTTCTTCCTTTCTGGGTTTCCCTTTTTCTGTCTCAGGTTAGGATTTTGCTCGCTATTTTGTAAGGAATTTTTTTTCTCTATTTTATTTGGGAAATCTCTTAAAGTGTTTTTGTTGTGGGAATGGGCTATAAGAATAGGAATATAATAATGGAATAAAAATGGGAATTGATTGAATGGCTAATTTTAATTCTATAACATTTAGAATTAATATTGGATTCACAATAATTATGTTTAGTTAGTAATTGAAATAAAATGGAAAAGGTAAATTTTAGAACATTGGGAGGTAATTTAGGGGAGGAGAATTGTAATTGATATCAGTTTGGGAATGGATTGGTCATTTCACATTTCCACTTTCTTAATGCAATTTCAAGCATTTTGATGGAATATGACTAGCTATTTCTAAGTCTTTTTGTTGGACCTTGTATTACCTATATGTCATGCTATCTATATGCGCCTTTTGTTTTACTATCTTTAGGGTGTTTTAATTACGTTCTGTGCATTTTTATTCTTTTTGGTAGATTATTTTGTTTTGATTTCTGTTCCGGTTTGTGGGGCCATTCAAAGGTTATTGTTCTTCTTCTTTTTAGCCAGTGAGTGAGTCTTTGACTCTATGCCTCGGACCAATTAAATCATTTCTGATCAAATATGCTCTGTTATATCAGTGCTTGAACAGATTGCTAACCTTTTTTTTTTTTTCCTAATTGCATTATATTTTTTAGCTTGGTTTTTGATACATTAAAACCTTTCATGTTTCAATGTAACCTATTCCCAGGTTTTTATTCATTCAGGGTAGATTCCGTGTTGTGATAAAGTTTTGTGTAACGGCTGTTAATGCTTTTGGAAAGTGCTGAACACATCTTAATACTTTCCGCACGATCCTCATGAATCGCCATCGCAATGCACTAAGACCGAAGTTCTTATTATATATAACTACCTTTTCTTTTTCACAAACTTGTTAATTACTTTTTCATTAGTAGTCAAAGTCCTTAATGCAAACAGTAAATTATACAACTCCATAGCCCCATTTTTGGGTGCTGCCCAGTCAACTATGTGTCGGTAGCACTGGGCATAATGGTGGGAGTGAAATTGAGTCTGTCGTTTGAGTAGAACTGGATCAAGTCTTTTTTATTCTATTATTTGGCCTCATGATCCCTATTATAGTCGAAAGGAACGAGGGACGGGATGGCACAATGATCTCATTTCTTTTTAGCAAAAAAAAAAGTATATGATATTTAGGTTGTTGTATCTTTTTTTTTTATGCAAAATATAATGGATTTTAGGACAAAATAAGAAATAAATTAACAAAAAATAACAGAGAAGGTTACGTGGTTCGGCTTTTAGCCTACGTCGACGAGCGAAGATGACGAGGAAGTTTTACTATTAAAAGGAACAAGGAAGTTACAAAAAAGATTATTTGAACTCTCTCAAAGCTTAAACCCCTATAGACCCAAAATGGTCTCACAAAATGGAACCAAGAGAACATAGAAAACTTCACTTTCATACACTCACATATGCTCACAATTTTTGTGATGATACAAATGGGTTGCATTGCAACCGATATATGAGGCTACAAACGTAGGCAACAAGCTGATATGCTTGGTCAGCAAGCATTTGGGCAGCTCTTGAGAGCTTGGGCAAGAAATATATGAACTTGTCAAACAAGCTTGCAGAAAGTTGAGTAAACGTGGCCTGTTTTGAACCACAATTAACAATATTACTTTCAAGTTGAAATAGTTATGTGGAATTAATTTTTGATCTAGAATTGGGAATGTTTCTTTTTTCATGCTGAGCCTGCTGTGCAAATATTTGAAGCATATCTGTCCATTCCTTTTTGAAGATTATCAATGATAATTAAGAAGCTTCACTCATTTTTCATTTTGTTGGAACTTATCTAAGGTTTTTCCAATTTGTTTCTGTATATAAGCTACACTTAATCTCCTCTCTCTCATTCTCTCTTCACACAAACTCGTCTTTGGGATTTCCCTTTGTTGTGTGTTGTTCCTTTTTATTTTTGGGACATCTGTGCTATGTATGCTAAACTACAAACATAGTAGACAATCTTTTCTTTTTGTTGTGTATGATTTGTATGGGCTTCATTTCACCTTTCAATTTAAGCAAGTGCTGCGCGATAACATTACATTTATTTTCAGGGCACTTTTTAATTCTCATTCTACCAACTTTGAGTTTTTTGGGAAAGTTAGTGCTGAAAATGATATATGTCATCTTTAAAAACTGTTGCTTTAGGTTTTGACACTTTCTCTTGGTGGATAATGGGATGGGAGCTATGCGGTTTCCAATTTACAGAAGTTTCGTTGTGTTGTCATAATTTGATGTTTACGTTTCTTTAAGAGTTGGGATCTTCCTCTTTTTTAACTTTGTCTTTGATTTTTGAGATATTTAGGCAAGTTGCTGCTAGTCTTTATTTAGCAAGCCCCGCAGAATACGTACTTTCCATTTGCTTTCGTTATTTTGGTTTTGGGAATTTCTGTTTAAGGGTTGGATTTTCCCTTGAGGTATGATTTTAATTTCTTTGATATTTTTATCTTTTGGTCAGTCATGGGTTTTTATCTTAGGTTTTTTTCTGCGGCGGAATCTGGGAATCCATGGCTGGGGGAAGAAGAAGGGGAAGGGGAAGGGGAAGGGGAAGGGGAAAACCTAACAACAACAATGAGAGTAAGAATCACAGAAGAAAAGGCTCGGGACCTTCTTATTCATCTGCTGGAAAAGGGGCTCTATTTGTCGAAGGAGGATTGTTATCTGATTGGTCTTATGCGCCCACTCCTTCTCGAGGTTAGTTCAATACCTTCTTGTAGATGTAGACTATTCGAGTGATTAGCTAATTTAATTTTATATGATTTTCCGTTTGGTATTTTGAGGAACCAGAGAAAAGTTGGAAGTTTTGACTCATTTATCATGACATTGTTGACCATTTTGTTCCACATAAACTTGGAAGTCTTAATGAAAATTTCCATCTTTTCTGGTTTCTTTCTTACAGTTTCTGAAGTACCAAACATGAGCGTTAAGTGGGACCCCGGGGTGCGGGTGGATGTTTAATTGTTTCTATTTCCATTTCATTGATTTTGTTTCTGCTTTTGAATTTTAGGGAAAAATCCTAGTGTGAGCGGGAGTAACAACAAATCGGGGTCGAAATCTGGAAGCTTGGATCAAACAAAAGCAGCTTCTGGGCCTAAAAGTGGGTCTCGGAAATCTTTAGGGAATACTTTCCGATACCAATATACTCCTTTTGAACAGGTCTGTTGTATTTCTTAAAGCTTTTCGGTCTTGTTCAACTATCAGTTTGGAGAATTGTTTGTTTCAGTATAAAATAGGTGGAGTGGAATTTTACTTGTTTTTTTGGCAAAGAAAGAGGATGTTCAGTTTATACTTGGGGTAACAGGCTTAGAAAAACATACGAAAGAGAGTAAATATTTTCTCAGACTCCTTATGTATGTACTCCTTTTTTTTTTTTCTTTTTCTTTTTTAGGGTTTGGGAAATGGTTGTTCAATTAATCATCAATTTAATGTTGCATTCCAAACTTTAGGGAAAATAAACTTCCAATGCTATTGTGGGTTCATATTGTTTTTGGTTATCTTTCGACAGGAGTCTTTGCAGCCAGAACCACGTCATGAGAGCAATAATGAAGATAATAGTTTGAGCAGTTCACGGACTATAGCTTTAGTTGACTCTAAGGACGCCCAAATATTTGCTTACATAGATCAAACACCATCTTCAAGGTCTCAGGAGATGGCGTTTTCTTATGACTACAGTTCTGCCTTAGGTGACGGCTCCCATAGAGGATTGGGGTTTTCTGATGAACTCGAGGAAACTCCAAGTGGTGTTGAAGCTTCCTTAAAGAAAATGGAAGAGGAAGAAGACCAATGTTTTAACTCATTGTCCTCTGAGCAGGAAATGAGTGTTGAGGAGAGGAATGCTTATGAGGTTGGTGTTGCCATGGCCGAAGAATCACCAGCAATGGTGGTGTCTCCAAAGAGAAATTCTGGGTTTTTGTCATTCGGAGGCATGAAACTATACACTGAAGATATATCTGATGAGGAAAGTGATGGAGATGAAGATGGGGAATCAGTGGATGAGGGAAGTTTAGTTCCGATCCAGGAGGAACAGTTGGGTCATCTGAAAGTGACAACTCTGAAGACACATCTGACAGTGATTCAGATGTTGATGACGAGGTTGTAGAAGACTATCTAGAAGGGATTGGTGGGCATGACAATATCTTAAATACAAAATGGTTGGTGGAGCAGGACCTTGATGAGTCGGATGATGATACTTCGTCAAGCAGTGCCTATGATGGGACTGTAAAGAAGTTGGGTGGAATTGCTCTTCAAGAAGCATCTAGCGAGTATGGAATAAAGAAGGCCAATCCAAGGCAGAAATACAATGCGACTACAAGAGATTCTTGGTCCTCGCCTTTAGATGATTTTATGCTTATAAAGGACTCGAGAAAAGTTTCTGCAAAAAAGAAGCACGTTGCCCGCTTCCCTCAGTCTTGGCCCTTAGGAGCTCATAAGAGTAAAAGTTCAAAGAAATTTCCTGGTATAAGCTTGCTTAGATACTTTTTGTTCGAGTTGCTTTGTATATATGCTGTTATTTTTTTGTTTTTTGTTTTCTTTAACGTGGATTTCCTTTGTTGGGAAAAAAATAAGAAAATAAAAACATGATATTAGTCTATTTGAAGTATTCTGTCTGGATATTGGGTAATACTTTCAGGGTTTTAAACATTGTTATATAATTTATATGCTTAATTTTTCGCATAAATTATCTGTTTGTTTTCAACTGCTATTTGGTATTCTAATTCACATGCATTCAGGTGAGAAAAAGAAGCATCGTAAAGAAATGATTGCTCTGAAGCGCCGGGAGAGAATGCTACGCCGGGGTGTTGATCTTGAGCAAATAAATCTGGTAAGGAAAAGGTGGCACGGTGTTATTGTTTTTGATAACATTTGAAGTGAAACTGTAAATTGTCATCAGATAGCAAGAGCTCTTTTATAGAATTAGGAAAATTGATCATATTCTGTTATTGGTTCATTTCGTTTGGTTTTAAAAAGAGCTTATGGCTTCATTCTTTTGGATTGTAGAAGCTGGAGCAGATTGTTTTGGATGGAGGAGACATGTATTCTTTTGAGCCAATGCATTCCCGTGACTGTTCCCAGGTAAGGATTTGTTCGTTTGTAGTTTCTTAATCTTCTTTTTTTCTCTCCAATAGAAAGGATTTTTGGAAGATTCATTTTTCTGTTGTACTGTCTTAGGTACGACGTTTAGCGGCAATTTATTGCCTGCGAAGTGGTTGCCAAGGCTCTGGCAAAAAAGGGTATGTTTTCCTTGTTGTTTTTACAGAATTTAACGTTTTTTGTTGATGCTAAAAACATTTTTTTTTTCAGGTTTGTAACCGTGACACGAACTCCTCAAACATGCATGCCATCTTCAAGTGATAGAGTTCGTCTGGAAAAGGTTTAAATTCTCATTGTCCATAAAGACATTATTTCTTTATTTCAGAAAAACCTAACAGCCATCATTAAATATCAGCTTATAGGAGCTGATTCAGAGGATGCTGATTTTTCTGTGGTTGAGACCCCAAACATAAAGTCAACCGTCACGGCTGGCATCAAGCAAAAGAAGGCATCAGCCAACCGCCATAGAAGATCCAATGAGAGGCAAAACGGTAAAAGGGAATCATATGCCCGTCAGCCAGTCTCGTTTGTATCTAGTGGCGTGATGCAATCAGAAACCGTTGAGGATACAGCTGCTGATTTTTCAGAGACGAATTCGGGTTGGAAAAATAAGGAGGTTGCTGGGTCAGCAAACTTTGGTGCCTTTGAGGAACACACGAAGGGTTTTGGCTCGAAAATGATGGCCAAAATGGGATTCATTGAAGGTGGAGGATTAGGAAAAGAGGGTAAAGGTATTGCAGAGCCCATTGAAGTGATCAAGCGGCCTAAATCGCTCGGGTTGGGAGTGGAGTTCTCGCATATCGTCGATGACACTGCATCCAATGATCCAGCAAGTAGTAGACCACTAAAATCCAAGTCCCAAAAACTAGGAGCTTTTGAAAAGCATACTAAAGGATTTGGATCAAAGATGATGGCAAAAATGGGTTTTGTTGAAGGCAAAGGACTGGGCAAAGATTCACAGGGAATAGTTAACCCTATCAAGCGGCCTAAATCGCTCGGGTTGGGAGTGGAGTTCTCGCATATCGTCGATGACACTGCATCCAGTGATCCAGCAAGTAGTAGACCACTAAAATCCAAGTCCCAAAAACTAGGAGCTTTTGAAAAGCATACTAAAGGATTTGGATCAAAGATGATGGCGAAGATGGGTTTTGTTGAAGGCAAAGGACTGGGCAAAGATTCGCAGGGAATAGTTAACCCTCTACTCGCAGTGAGGCTACCAAAATCAAGAGGTTTGGGTGCCAAAGATTAGGATCTTTCAGTTCCCCAAGAAGACAAAATTAATTGCAGGAGATGAGAAGACAAAATTGCTTTATTTATTGTACTGGTCGATGGAAAGACTCCAATATGTAGCATCATGACGTACTCTGAAATTTAATTTATAAGGTTCCTCCTGTGTGGGACTATAGGACTCTAAACTTTACAAGGAATATTTTCAGTATATTTTTCTATAATCTTTATATATATATATATATATAATTCCTAACAATATAATCTATTTCACCTATTATGCACATATATTACTATTAATGCAATAAAGAGAATTATTAACCAACTCAAAGAAATAATAAATAAGTATTATTAATAAAATATTAAATTACATTTAATAATAAAACATAAACACACACTGATGAGCAAAAAAAGAAAAATAAACGTAAACGCATAGCTAAAAGAAATACATCTCCAAATATCATTTAATCGTCTTTATTCCCCTAAATTAGTATACTCCTCCCACGAATGATCAATTAATGCATTTTGAAACACAATGGGAGTGTCTTTATCCCTGAATTGAAAATTGGGATAAAATAAAAGAGTAGTTTTGTTTCTTTGGTGGCAAAATGGAAGAAATTTTAGTCAAAATTATAACTTTGGGAATAAAATAAGAATTTTAAAAAATATTTGGCCTTTAAACTAATTTTTTTTAAAAAGCGCTGCCGTAAACAGTGTCGTGCCTTGCGTTAGCTCTGGCTAGGGTTGTTCATAAACCCGTAAAACCCCTAAGCCCAACCCATCCCATCCCAACCCAACCTGAAAAATACAATTTTTAGTATTAAATTTTTTTTTCGGCCCATTCAATGTCTGGCCTGAAGTTTTGAGGTGGGGTGTGAGTTGGACCTATAATGACCCACACACTCCAATCCAACCCGCGCTCTAACTTGCCTCTTCTAATATCTAACCCTAGACAGACAACTCATTTCTACTATCTAATTTCTTCATGTTTGAATTAAACCTTTATATTTGCTTTATGTTAAGACTAATTATGAGTATAGATTAATTTATGTTTGCTTTATGTTTGATGTTAGATGGACTATTTTGCTTCATGTTTGATGTTGGATTGAACTTTAGAAATATGTTGGATTGAACTTTAAATTTCAATCTGTTTGAATGTTAAGAGTTATTATCTATTTAATGATGAACTTTAAATGTTAAATTAAACTTTGAGTCTTGGATTCTTTAAATATTAAAACCAACCACCCAACCCACCTCGTACTGCCCCAATCTAACCTAAACATCATTAGGTTGTGAACTTTTTCTAATATCATTGAGGCTAAATATGTACAATCCGCAGCTAAATATGTATAATCCGCACCCTTCGAGGCCGGAGAAGAAAAAACCTTATCCCACACCACCTTAACCCATGAACAACCTAGCTCTGGCGCAGGATTAGGGAATTCCCTGCGCCAGATTAATCCTCCCGGGCGCTTAAATAGCGCTCCGTTGGAGATGGTTAGAGAGAGGGAGAGAGAGCAGCAAATTTTTTGCTAATGAGAGAGAGCAGGCAAATTGATTACACCTCTTATTCACTCTTGGGATTTTTTACAACAGGAGAACTTATTACAACTCATCTAACTAAGCACGCAAAAATTTGATGAAAAGGTACGGGAGAGGAGTATAAACAAAGAAAGGCTTGGCATGGAAGGAAGGATGTAATCTAATAAACTATTATACAAGAAAAGCGGAAAAGGGAGAAATAAGCTTAAGAAGCAGCAGCTAAAGGAGGTGGTGTCGGAGGAGCTCCATGGAAGATATTGGGTTGTGTTGACATTAGGTTGGTCTCTTCGGCCCCTTCGTCGCCTTCTTCTTCAGCATCCCAAAGAAACCGAGCATACGACGCTAAAATGTAACTGCGCAATCCAAAACAAAACTAAAATCAATTCACAATACCCTTGATTCAAACCAAACCAAACCAAACAAAGAAAAACATATTAGTACTTGTACTAATAATAACAAGGAAAAATAGCTTTCTTTTATTGTGTCTTTTATATTGTGTTCGGTATATGTTATATTCTCGGTCTTTTCCCTCCAATCAAACAAGGGTAAGCGCCAAAATTCTTCCACTAATCATCTTATCCCTGTCTCTCCTTCCGCTTTTTCCTTCTACCGAACAAAGCTCTAACCCTTGTTCTTGAAAAACCTATTTTTGGGAATCATCCATTAAGGTCTTCCAAAAAGTATTTTGACCATTATCTAATCAAGTAGACAACCTAAACATCGCATTTAAAAAAAAAAAAAAAAAAAAAAAAAACTCTTACCAATCATCTGGGGCAGCTTTAACAGCTTGATCAAAGTAAGACTCAGCTCTTGAAGCATCTTTATGGCTCTTCCATATCAAATCTGCGTACATGGAAAGAACATTCCCATCATTTGGGTTCGCCAATATCGCTCTCCCACAATACTCTTCCGCTTTCACAAGATCCCCACGAACCTATTCCAAAATCAACAAAACTATTATTCAGATTTTCAGACAGACAAAGAATCATAAAAATCACTTGCTTTTTCTTAACTTTTCCATACAAATTGACCAAAAAGCTTACATCCTTCAAGAACTTTGCGTAATTGCTGAGCAGAAGAGGATTCCCAGGGTTAGCCTCGATCATCTTCCGATAAAACAGGTCAGTGCCGTGATTTCCCCGGTTCGAATCCCAAAACCCCGAGCTCCCGTCATCGCTACCATCCGATCCACCGCCTCCGCCTCCGCCTCCCCCGCCACAGATCCTCCCTCCTCCGCCGCCAATGCCGCCACCGACCAAAACACTCACCAATTCAGTCTCCCTCGCACCAACCTCACAACCAGGATATGACCTCGTACTCGTCATCGCGGATCTGAATCCTAATTCTCTCTCCATTTCCTCTTCTTCCTCTTCCTCCTCCTCCGCCGAAAATCCGTCGACGATTCTGTCCAAAGCCGTCTTCTTCGGCGCCGCGAGGTCTCGGAGATCCGTCTCCGACGAGGCGCGCGTCATATTCTTCCTCGTAGAATCGATCGGCGACATTGAAGAAGAAGGAGAGGATGAGACGGACAGAGAGACGATCGAGCGGCTACGGGAAATCTGGGGGACAATCTCCGGCTCCGGAGACAACGAGTGACACGAATCCTTCGAGTGCGGTAGCCATGAATTCAGTATCGGCGTTGAAGAGCTTCGCAGAAGCATTATTACTTTTTGTTTGTTTCACGAGAAAAAAAAGTAAAGGAAAAAAAAAAAAGAAAACCCACGAATCAAGCGATCTGATTCTGATTCTGGTTTTTGAGGAAGTTGAGAGAGAGAGAGAGAGAGAGATCAACTTCTGAGACCGTCTCAGTGAGCTGGGAACAGAGGAGGTTTGAGAGATGATATTTTTATATTGGGAATCGTGTAAATAGCGATGATCAAATCTCAGCCGTTGAATTTATCTTTTTAAATATTGTCTTTTCGACTTGGTTTTGTTGCAGAGCATAATTGCGGGGAAAAAAATAAAAAAGACGCACGTGATTTTATTGGGAGTTCTATTATTTCCTTTGTGTCCTGTTTGCCATTAGAAGGCCAAAAGCAACTTTTCGTGTACCTCCTTACATCAGTTAGTTTTATACAAGTATGAGCATCTCTAATGTAATATTATTATTAAAATGTTAATTATAAATTTAATATTTAAGTATAAAAAATATTTTTTAATATAATATTATATATTGTGTTAAATTTTTTATATGTAATATTTTATAATAAATTTCTCACTAAGCATAACACATGAGAAATTTAAAATTTAATTACTATTGGTTAAAATATTTATTTTTTCATGTAATCATTGGAAGAGTTTCTCTATTAGAACAAAAAAAATGACCTACTAGTAATTTTTTATTTTCAGCTGTCAAATCTATATAAGAAACTACTTATTTTGTATACTTTTTTTAATCTAATATGATTTTAACATAATTCAACTGTCAGCAACTAACACTACCGGTAGGACTGGTCTACCAGAAAAACTCTCTAATAATTATGAGAAAAAGTAAATTTAGAATTTTAAATAGCATTATGCATTATAATAAAAATAAAAAACAACATACACTATCTTACTTTTGATGTTAAATATACAATTGACATCAATATTTGCATGTGAGATAGTCTAATTCTATACACATCTAAACATCAAAATTTTCGAGTTCAAACTCTTCTTTTAAGTTTATAATGAGAAAGAGAGTAAACATATGATTACTCCGCCTCGTTTTTAAAGCTGAAAAGTGTGGTTTGAATTTATAATCTGAATTGGATCAAAAGATATGGTAAGGTAAGTCTTCATTACTGTCTCAATTGGTTTAAACTAACACATCAAATTCAAAATGAAAACTAATTAACATTCAAACACCAGTTGAAATTTGGCTTGTGGTTCAAATTTGTAGAACTCATGAATCAAACAAGGCCGATATTGAATATAGATTGTCTTTATATTGTCTTTTAGTGTGTCATGTAAAAGTGCAATATAACATAATTTTATTATATATAATATTGATTTTTGAATCATCCACCATTTTTTCAGTTGCACATTTGTTACGACGTTATTATTATGAAAAAAAGTTTATGTTATGCATCAGTGAGGGTATGCATATTAGTAAGAGCATGTAAAAATTATGTTATGCATCTTACTTTCACACATACACGAAGTTACATATACACCGGTGATAATACATGTTCTCACTAATAAATAAAATATTTATCGTTTCAACCAATAAGTACAAATATGAATAAATAAAATTTATACAATTAGGCAGTTTTTTATTTTGCATTAGAATTTTATACAATTAGGCAATTTTTTTTTTCTTTAAAATTTTTTAAAATTAGGCAATTTTTTTTTTTTTTTTTTTTTTTTTTTTTTTTTTTTTTTTCAAGTTATGAAGCTTAAATTTATTGAGTTATCATTAAATTCAAAAGTTTGTATTGCAAGGCGTGGATTTGTTATGTTATCATGATTCATGACGGAGGTGATCCTTTCCAAGTTGAAGAGAAAAGGTGGCTAGAAGTTAGTGCGGAATTTCGCAATTACTGAGGCTTAAAAATCAAGTTTTATACAAAAAGCGGCTGGTACTAAATACTAATTAATGGCTAGATGCATGATATTATTATGTCCCGTTTATTTTACCGATTCGAGTTTATAATTCGAGTTTTACTACAGTAAAAAATTCTCAAAAATAGACACATCTAACTTTTTTGTTATAGTAAAAAATTCTCATATAAAATCATATCTCAACTTAAATTATAAACTCAAATCAGCGAAGGGAACGGACCTTTATATAATTATCAAAGCGAGTTTGCAACAACTTTCCATTTGTCTATTTCTTGGTTTGCTGTGCAATTTCCATCGAGGACATTTTCCAAGTACATATCATTATCTTCATTGATTAAAATAATAATAATGAAAAAAAGATCATTATCTTCATTGATTAAAATAATAATAATTAAGAATTACCAAAAAAATAATAATAATGAAGAAGATCCATTTTATTCATTGCCAAACACGCCTTTAAAAGCAGAAATTTGGTTCTCCGTATATGTGCTGGACGAAGCCGGTACACGGTTGACATTCTACGTTTGGGTCCCACCCAAGCACCCTCACGTGACTTGGGACCCATCTAAGCCGTCGGATTCGTCTTCCACTGGAGTTTTGACGGCTCAAATTTCACTTTCCCACGTGATCTCTTTCCTATTGGGCGAAAGCCAGGCGCCTTTTGAAACTTTGAAAGCAACAGCGACGATTTTTCCTCGGTTTCAATCCCTATACCTAAAAGACCCTTTTCTTTTCCAAATTCACGATTTTGCCACCTAACGAATAAGCGGCTGGGCTTCCTCTGAGTGGGACCCGTCTAAGTGACGTGGTGGGGCCCAAAACTCGATTCAACGGTGAGTGTCTGAGCCCGGTCAAGTTGAGACCGTCACGTCCACGTGGGCCCTGGTTGGCAATTCCCGGTGCCCGTCCCCTGCAAGATACCTGTGGGTCCCGCCTCGTTGCTAAAAGTAGAGCAACTTGCTCGGTGGGGGGTAATATAGTCATTTTATCCAGCCACGCCTAGATATTTTTTTAATCTTTTTGACCGTTAAATCTACTAATTTAAATTTTTAATTCTGATTAAAATATAATTTAATGTGAGAATTTTTTATTATAATAAAAAAATTAAATATAATAATTTTTAAAATTTTTTTTATTATAATAAAATTTAAAATTTAAATTTAAATTAGTTAAATGAAGAAAACTTCTATTTTTTTATTTTTTATAATTCATCTAATGATTGTAAAAGGAGATTTTTCTCCCTTCGGAAAAAGAGAGATGATAAGAAGAAAAGCTAATCAAAATTATGGAAAAGTTCTACGGGCACCTACCATAATTTGAGAGTTTTTCTTTTAGGGTTTCTTTATTGATATGGTATGTTTTTTATCTTTAAATTCAGACAAAATTATATTAAGTTAAAAAAATATATAGAATAAATATTTTTTAAGATAGATTTCACGGTTGAAAGAAAAAAATTACTGATAGTTTATTTTTTTTTGTCTTATAAAAAAAACTCCCTTTTAAATTAAAGTTTAAGTTTATAAAGTAAGCTAATAAGTTATTGTAATCCCATGATAATAGGAAGAGACAGGTAAACATTTTTTTTTTATATTGAAATAAAAACACACGATAGATAACCACAAGACATGACACTGTGACATATAATTTTTTGTTTTTTGTTTTTTTTTGGGTGAATCTTGTGGTACATAAGTAAACCTCACTAGAAAATGTCGATGTTAAACAATGTGTAAAGCTTTCATTGACACATTGCTCGAAAATATTGATTAAGAAAAACATTGCCCAAAATAAGTATGCATTAATCATCTAATACTTTTACCAAAACATCGTATGCAAAAATATTTGACAAAGGTGCACACATGATCATGGCAATCATTGGTTTTTACAATCTAATTAGAACTCTAATGATACCAAAAGTAAGTAAACTTGTGGAGCCATTCTCATCAAAATGACGAGGACCACTCAATTAGTCCAAAATAATTTTCAAAGAATCCCATATGGATTGGTAAAAACTTTCCATTCGTCCTCCAAGAAAATGATTTTTTTTTCTCCCTGTTCGTTTTGGAAAATTTCTTTTGCATGCCATTTTCTTTCTATGGCCTCCTTTATCTTTTTCAACATCAATTATTTAGCTAATAAAATTGACGGAGGTAGGTTTACAAAGTGAAAAGACAAAAGGTGATTTTCTCAACCCGTTCGGTTCGCTAATTCGAGTTTTTAATTTGAGTTGAGATGTCATGTTGTGTGAGAGCTTTTTATTATAGTAAAAAAGTTAGATGTGACTGTTTCTAAAAACTTTTTACTGTAACAAAACTCGAATTCTAAAATCGAATCAGCGAAATGAACGAGGCATTGTGTAGAAAATGAAAAGCCCATGTCCTTCCAAAAATAGCTTTTAACTTGGCATTCTAAGTAGGATAAATAATTTGATTCCCCATTCCCAACTTGAAAGGAAAAGAACAAAAATCAAATATAAAATTGTGATTAAATAACTACTTAGTGTCCTTTTGAATTAAAAAAAAGAAAAAAAATTGTGATAGAAAAGAGAAAATACCGCATTAAGACAGAGTTTTGAATTGTTAAATCATATCTATTAAGAAAAAAAAATTATTGTTACTTGATGGAAATCTGAACATTCTAAATTGTAGCTTATTATAGAATTATCACTTAAAACAAAAGAGATTTACACCATCTAATAACCTAACTTAAACAAAGTAAGTCGAACCTTCGAATCCGACTAATGAAGAAAATGGTCCTAAGATCTCCATCAATTTTAAGTTAAAAATGGCAATAAAGACTGAGTCTATTTATTAGACAATGAGAAAATCTTGTTGTTTTTTAATGCATCTTTGAGAGAGCCAGAAAGATACGTGAAAGAGTCTAACCAAGTTGTGTGGCGGAGATTCCATGTATTTTGCCAAATCTAATACAAACACTTTCCAACTGTGAAATTCACATCAGAAAATTGCCTACTCTATTCCATTAGGACAAAAACTAGAATCTATTTCTCTTCTTTCCCTGCGTTCTCCAATAAGAATTAGAAAAATCGTGAGATGGGACCCTTTCTCTTTCAGTCTTCTTTTTGGACCCCTTTTGTGGTATGTCGTTGAATTGTGGACATATTTGTCTTTTTGCTGCTTTGGAAGCTTTGTGTGACAAGGCATATTTTTGTATTGGGCTCATGTTGGGATTTTACTCAAGCCCATTACTGCTCCTAAAGCAGTGGATGATGTGGTGATGGATGAAAGCTAATTGGGAAAATGACGGAAATAAATATTAATTAAAATTAATAGGTTAATAGTTTATATAAGTTAATAAATAGATTAAATTATTATTTTTATCTATAATTTGTCTGGTTATGAATCATAACTTGACAACTTATTGTCTATAAATCACGATTTTTATCCATAACTTGTCTGACTATGAACCATAACCTGACAAGTTTGTCCATAACTTATATGGTTATGAACTATAACTTAACAAGTTATGGCATATTAATTTCTATAACTAAAAGTTGACCTATATACTTCCTTAACCTTTTCATATTGGCCTATTTTCTACTATTTTCGAAGCTAATTTTGTGTTCATAAACCTGAAGGCTTCGTTTATTTCACCGATTCGAATTTTTAATTCTAAGGTCTCGTTCGTTTCGCTGATTCGAGTTGAGATGTGATTTTATGTGAGAGTTTTTTACTGTAGCAAAAAAGTTAGATGTGACTGTTTGTGAGAGCTTTTTACTGTAGCAAAACTTGAATTCTAAACTTGAATCAGCGAAATGAACGAGGCTTTTTTATTACACTTCTCTCACAAAAAGTCACATCAAATTTTTTTTTATTACAGTTAAAAGTTCTCACATAAAATCATATCTTAATTCGAATTGAAAAGTCGAATCAGTGAACTCAACTAGACCTAAAATTTTCTCCATCATTTCAATGGAGGAGCTTTATATGTATCAATATCATTGTACATATGTTTTTTTTTTTTTTTAGTCGCATCTAGTCGTTTTTTGTTATGGAGACTTTGTTCAGAAACAAAAAGAAGAAAAAGAAGAAGACAATTAATAAATAAAGGTAAATGTACTTGCAATGTTTTTAAAATGGAAATATGACATTAATATTTCAAAGGGATTGTATTATTTTATAAATTAAATCAACACTAAAATTAGGTGGGGTATGAGAGAGTTAAATTAGGTATTATGAAAATTAATCTATAAAAAGATAGATTTTTTAAATTTTTATAAGAGGAATATTAATTAGTGGGGACATCTATAAAATTTTGGGTACAAATATAACTACTCTTTGAGTAAAACTTGTATAAGATATGCAGAAAAATAAGTAGACCCGGACGTAATTTACCCGAGATGCGTTCCTTTTATTAAACCAATAAAAAATAATTTTGAGCCACACAAACTTATATTTTGAGTGGTATATATATAAAGATGGTAAAAAAGAATGGTAGTATATGTAGTTTGCTCAGAGAAAAATGCTTTTGATCTCAATGGTAGTTGCTGACAATCACACAAGCAAAACGACATTGGGAATCTTATGTGATTCATATCCAAGATGAATCCTACATTTAAAATTGTTGGGATTCTCGGTTGTGATGTTGATTTTTAGTTATTGGCATTATTTTAGGTATGATTTGTAGAATTGATTCGTTTGGGGAATATTGAGATTGATTTGCTGCAGGTATTATGTTTGGAAAAATTCAGATTTTATGAAAGCCGTTTTATTACACAATTTCATATTTTGATGAGTCAACTATGGTTGTTTTGACAACATCAATACTGATAGAATGATAAGAGGGAACTGTGATTTGCAGCGAGCACTTTTAAAAACTGTTTTATTGGATTGATTTGATTGAAGTCAACTTTTATATGTTTTTAAAAAGTTGAATTTTGATGAGTTAGTTGATTTGCAAAGGAGATTTTGCTTGGTTGTTCAAAAACATTTAGGTTCATGGAGTATTCTGCAAGGATTATATTGCATTTATATAGGCGATATCAAGAATCTGCAGAAGTTGACTGTGGACTAGATTTATAGCTGTATTGTAGAAAATGTTGCAACAGATTCCGTAACATATTGTGTGTTACGGACTGCATTGAAGATCTTCGACAGCTGAAATATTTGATTATATATTAGGGTTCCCTGAACATACCTAAGAATTCTCGTTACTTGCGTAAGATGAGAAATTGTAGGTTGCTGCATATGTTGGCTAACAAAATTCACAGCTATAAGTAATATCAGGGCGAGTAAATGTCAAGTATTGTAGGCCTCCAACAATACTTCTATATAAGGTAGGATCTGAAAGAAAAAAAGAAAGTATTATCTGCTTTGCTATCATGAGGAACCATGGGAGTAGATAGTGTCTTGCTAGTATGCATTTTGTTATAACCCTTGAGTAGAACTCATCCCCAAAAGCTAGCTTGTAGGGAGATGGTGCCCAAATGGTTATAAACCCACATGCTAAGCCCATACTTTAGCAATGTGGGACTCAACCAGGGTCCTAACATACCCCCACGCTTCCGATACCGACGTCCACGGCGGCCCACTCTGGATGGCCCACTCTGGCCTTTCCAGGTCGCCCCTCTCCAGGTCGCCCCTCCCCAGGTCGCCCCTTCCGCAACGTGAGCCTGAAGAGGAGCATGCTCTGATACCAATTGTTATAACCCTTGGGTAGAACTCATCCCCAAAAGCTAACTTATAGGGAGAGGGTGTCCAAATGGTTATAAACCCACATGCTAAGCTCATACTTTAGCAATGTGGAACTCAACCAGGATCCTAACATATTTTAGCTCTTTGAAGAAGCTCAGCAGCATACTTTCTTTGATTTAAAATAAGTCCATTGGAGAATTTTTCCACCTCTACTCCCAAAAAAATCGTGAATATAACCCATATCTTTCATATCAAATTCTTTTCCAAGTGTGCTAATAAATTACTCCCTGTAAGTATATGTCATCCACGTAGACTAGGAGAAGAAGAGTGCGTTGTTTTCCTTGTGAGATAAATAGAGAAGTGTCAGCAATACTGCAGAAAAAACCATAGGAAATTCGAAAAGAGCTAAATCGAACAAACCAAGCTCTTGGAGCTTGTTTTAGCCCATACAAAGCTTTCATTAATTTGCAAACAAAATTAGGCTTTGTTTAATCAATAAATCCAGGAGGTTGATCCATGAAAACTTGTGTATCAAGATGCCCATGTAAAAAAACATTCTTCACATCTAATTGCCTAATATCCCAATTGAAAGATAGGGCTATTGATAAAATAACAAGAATGGTAGCAGGTTTTACTACAAGAGAAAAAGTTTCCAGAAAATCAATGCCCGGGATTTGATTAAATCCCTTGGCAACCAACCTGGCTTTTAGTCTGTCTAAGGATCCATCAGCTTTTAACTTGGATTTATATACCCACTTACATCCAATAATGTTCATACCATTGGTACGAGGAACCAATTCCCATGTTTGGTTATGATGCCATGCAAGAATTTCTTCTTGCATTGCTTTTAACCATCCAGGGTGTTGCATGACTTCTTTGATTCCTTTTGGTTCAGTGGGAACATAATGTTCATACCATCCAATAATGTTCTTCTGTACTATTAGTGTTTTGAATAGAAATTCGTTCTTGAACAGAAATTTCTTCTTGTGTTGGCTCGGAGCTTGTCACTCTATTCTCAGATTCTATTTGAGAATTTTGTTCATTAGCTTCCTCGGCGTGAGTTGGGAATACAAATGAGGCCTCAGTAGAGTGATTTCTTTCTTCTGTGTTTGAAACAGGAACTTTGTTTGGAACCTGTTCTTCTGTAAACCACTCATTAAAGCTTGTTAGATCAATGTTTCCATCACAATTACTAAAGAGTGTACCTGGTTGTTTAAAGATAGGGTGGATAGAAACACCTATATCCTTTATAAAATTTGCTGTACCCCAAAAATACACACGGTAAAGTTTTTGGATCAAACTTATCATGAGCTATTTGTCTCTGATATGGAAAACATTTTGAACCAAAAACTCTAAGAGATGAGTAATCAGGCTTCTTACCAGTGAGTCTTTCTATTGGACTCTTCATGTCTAGAACTGTTGAAGACAATCTATTGATTAACCATGCAGCAGTTCCAAATGCTTCTACCCAAAATCTTTTGGGTACTCCAGCATGGAACATCATTGTCAATCCCAACTCAGTAATGTTTTTGTGCTTGCTTTCAGCCATGCCATTTTGTTGGCCTGTTCCTGGGCATGATTTTTGGCGCTTGATCCCATTTTCTGCTAGATAGGAGTGAAAACTTTTATCTTCAGACTCCCCTCCTCCATCCAATTGGAAGACCTTTATGTTCTTGTCAAATTGGTTCTTCACAAACTTATGGAATAAAATAAAACAATTCAAAATTTCTGATTTTCTTTTCAAAGGAAAGAACCAACTATATCTGGTGCATTCATCCACAAACACAACATAATATCTGAATTTTTGAAAAGAACCAACTGGGGCAGGAGCCCAGAAATCACAATGAATTTTAGCCAAAGGTTCAAAACAATGTTCATCAACATTAAAGAAAGGTAATCTGCAAGATTTGCCTAATTGACAACTCTCACATAAATTGTTCTTATTATCAACAACTGAAATAAAATCATTGTTTTTCAAAAACTGGACAATTCTATGGTGAGGATGTCCGAGTCTTTGGTGCCAAGTAGTAGTGCTTGCAGCTTGAAATCTGTTGGAATAGAATGCCTTCTTTTGATCAGTTTGAAGAGCGTAGAGGCCTCCATTCCTAGTTCCTCTTGTTATTATTTTCCCTATCTCCCTGCTCTTTAGAACAAATTCATTTCCAGTGAATTCAAATAAATAAGGGAGATCTGAGGTCAATTGACTAACAGAGAGTAGATTAGTTTTTATTTTGGGAACAACCAAAACATTTTCAAGGGTCACAGCATGTTTTCCAGTATTAAGAATAATATTTCCAACATGAAGAATGTCTATTACTGACCATTATTTTATCATTTCCCTTGTATGGTCTGCAATTGAACAACTTACCTTCATCTGGTCATATGTTGAGTGGCACCAGTGTCCGGAAACCATGCTTCATTCTGGTTGTCTGTAAACTTCAAAGCTGCGAGGGCTTGGGCTGCATCACCTGGTTGAAAACCTTGGTTGAATCGATGCCAACAGTCTATAGCAGAACGTCTTGGTTTCCTACAGATTTGGCAAATGATTTCACTTCTGTTTTTGTACTTTTGAGGATTCGAATTGTTTTTCTTACCTTGTGGCGACTCCGGTGGTCTTTGTACAGCTTGTGTGAAGCCCTTCACTCTTGAATTGAAGTAGTTCTGCCCCTGTCTATTATTTTCGTACTATTTGCTATTGATCTTATTTTGAGCAAGGAATGCAGCATGATCATCAGTAGTTTCAACAGTATTATGTAAAGTTCTCATGTTTTCATAGCTTTGCAATAGTTGTGCAGTGTCATTATAAGATGGCATAGGGGCTTCATCATAGTAGTATCAAAAGATTCATATTCTTTAACTAGACCTTTGAGTAACCCAAATGCCTTTTGTTGCTCCTTCATTGGCGAGCCGATTGCATTGAGTTCATCGCAAATTTGTTTGAATCCCCTGATGTAGTCATTGATGGATTTGAAGTTCTTCCTCTCTGAAGAACTTCAAATCCATCAATGCTACATCAAAGTCGTCCACACTTCTGTTGAAGTTTCAACACCGGCAGCTAGACCAAGAACTTCCTCAGATAGTGTTCCAATGACAGACGATCAGATCTTCTCTAGAGAAGGTATTCTGGATTCACAAGCTCACCTTTTTCTGTAGTCCTTTTCACAAGCTCTTCAGGTTTTTGGAGGGTCCCATCAATGAATCCTCCCATGCCTTGACTCTCGTTTTAGCCATTGATTTGAGTCTTCCATAACATAAAATTGCTCTCTGTGAGTTAAAGCGACACAAAGTTTCCAATATTAAGATTGGAAGGGTAAGGATATTTTGTGGTAGAAGAAACGTTTGGAAGAGATGACGATGCCATTGCTTGACCCAAAAA